TATATACACACACACACAAAACACATGCTATAGCATTCGGAATCATAACATTGAATATAAAAAATTTATTCAAGCAAATTATGAAACAAGCACAGCAAACAGGTAAACAAGAAAATATATTTTTCATTTTAGTATATATCTGAGGTCAGCTGAAAGTTCCAGGTTACCTTACAGCCACATTCCTGATCCCTTAAGCTTACCTGCGGTGAAGGGACTCTGAAAACTTAAGGCTTGCATAAATAAATTCCTTGACCTGCATATAAATCTGAGGCACTGACTGAGACATTGGAAGCTTCTTTGGAAAGGATTGCTGTGAAAATCAAAGATAATACTGTCTTACACTCAAAACTGATTCTAACATAACAATTAGAAAGCCACTTAACAAACAGTACTATCTTAACCTCTTCTGGTTTTCATCAAGTACAAACAGTGCTATATGCTGAACTGACTTCTACATCTGCTTAAATAATGTACAAGCAAAATAGAACTTCATCATTTCTTTAAACTACAATAAAGTTTGAAGACTTTATATCATTTTAGATCCCATGTAGAAAGCAATTTAAAATCGCATATTAAAAAACAGGTCTCAAACTGCTTTTAACCTGAATGAACACGATAGATGTAATTGGGATGAAATGATGAAAAATGCAAACGTGTTAAAAAAAGAAGCTTGAAAAGTCCTGTACTTCAGGGTTTTTCAAAGCATCTTGAGAATGTTTAGACTTTTTTTTTTTTTCAAAGGCTCACAAAACCAAAGCAGTTTGAATTATTTTCAGGAGTTTGGATTAACACGTAGCAAATACTAAGAGTCTGTAATAATAAAATCATGTTTCTTCCTTCAATTTTAAATCTGATATTGTATTTGGGAGAACGAAAATAAATAATTTCAATTAGTTCTGCACAGACCGAATAGGAATTTCTGCACCGAGTATGTAACTTTTGAAATCTAGATCAAAGTGACTTTTCTGTTTACTCTATAACTAATGCATGAGAAAAATAATTAACAACTGGTATCATTCCTGAAGAATTAAATTTCTCTAAAATAAAAAACATCAATCAACAACAGTTCAACATTTCTTTATTAAAATAACAAGACAAACCAGATTACCTTGACATTCTCCTAACCATAACCCTTACTTAAGATGCGACAAATATGTGGTCTAAGTTCCAGGTTTTTGTGTCATTCGGTGACGATAGCAAAATGTTGTTTTAGCAATAAAATTTACCTCAAATATATGTTAATCTGATTTAGGACATTAATTTTTACAGATAAAACAAGTGCTATTACCTACACCTATTTCAGCTCATCACAATATTCTGTCAGCAGGACTTGAGTGTCCACCTTCATATTCAAAGATCTAAGACAAGCAATTCTTTATTTTCTAGAGTGGATGCAATACTGGAGGACACAAAGCTTTCTGTCTGATCATTAGAGCAGGCAGCAAGGGAAAAAAAAATCAACAGAGCTACAACCTACTGTTTCACTTTGAATACAGAAAGGGAGGAAAATTAGGTGATATAATCAAACTATGAGTTTGGCATAATCAATCTAAATAGCAGAGTGCAGACAAGACTGTTTTGTTCAGTCAGATTGGATTTGCTATGCTAAAATCTGTAGGCTCTGGTCATAATTCTGCCTAATGCAAGCAACTCCTATGATAAAACTTAGCTGTAAAATGTGAGGGTGAGTCGTCCTAACCTACAGTTAAAAATTAGACACTCACGTTTGTCTCTTTTTATAATAAATGGAAAGAAACAGACATTTAAAAAGGTGGATTTCCCCTTAGTCTGTAAAAGGCATCAGAGATACATTAAATGGAATTAGCCCTCTGGGATGTCTATTCCTCTCTGTAGACTACATAAGCTCTTTCAGTGACTAGCCTGAACTTACACATCTTTTTTATTTTTAGGAGTTTTTTGACATCAAAATGTAGATTAAATTGACCCATCCAATAAGACCTCCCAGTGCCTTACAGCCTGAGGCACAACAGAGAGGTGAAGTGGATGAGATTACAAACAGTAACCAATGGAAGGGACGATGGAGCATTTACAGTTTCCCCTCCAGCTGGATTCCCTGCTACCTAATAACACATAAGTTAACACTGCAGTTTCTTTCAACAAAGATACTTCATGTATCTTTCTCTCTTCCACTGTCTAGTTGACAAAACTTTTACCAACTCAATTGAAATTTCTGTCCCTCTGCTAAATGTGGTTGAAGTCAACTAAATTGCTTCAAAAATTGCTAGGACACACAATAAAACTGCCACAGATTGCCTGATTTCTAATTATCTCCTGCTTTACATACAGGTTTCAAAGCCCTTCTCAAAGATATGTAAAAAATGTTTTCCCTTTTTTATGGGTGAAATAACAGTGGCAGAAAAGTGAAATGACTAACTAGCACCACAAAGCTGGTCAATGACAGAGCTGAGAACAGAACCCAACCTGATTCCCAGCTTTACTCTCAGCCCAAAAACTAGCATCAGTGAGAGTCTGCCCACAAAATGCCTACAAAAAGTGCTGCTCACTGTGAAATAAAAAAGCCTCTCTGTATGATAAACCAGAATGAAAATTGTTGAGTACAGAGAATACACTTCCCTTCTGGTGAAGAGCCAAAGTTTTGTATTAATCATACATATATGGAATTAGCAGATAAAATACTATAAATTAAAAATTTCTACAATTTATTAGCAAAATATGTCATGTTAAACAGTATCCAGGGTATGGTATACTTCCAACACTGCAAGGGATTTCCATTCTGTTTATCTTATTTTAGTGTTATAATGGCTAAGTAAATAAATGACTTTGATGGAGGAAAGCATCCAGAAAGCACTCTGGAGTCTTACTCAAAAATCAGCATAAACCCCTCCTTTAATTTTTCATCTTCACTGCAACACTGTTAATGACATGCAGCTGTTACATTTGCCTGGGAAATCCTTTCTGAACCACAGAATTAGAATAGCTTTTTACTTTTGCAGATATCTGCAGTGATGGATCATGTATAAAACAGCTTCCCCCTACAACAGCTACTCCCACTGTCAGGTGGTTGTTAGATTTAGTTTCCTCCTACAGACTCCATCATGAGCCTCTTATTTCTTCATTGGTATTACCAAACCCATACTGAATAGCAGAACATATTAACCACCTTCCTGTGAAAGGAGTTTGTAGTAAAAGAGTGGCTGGAGCCACAAAAAACATCCTATTGGAATGCTAGTACAGCAGAACTATCTACAATCCTTTCAGGTTTATTTTGCCACACATGCTCAAACACAAATGATTACATCTAAAAGTGAAATACAGAAGTCACAGTCTCTAACTGATCCCTGTTCAACATGTATTTTTGCAATACTACAGCATATACTGTGAGTCATTAAACCCAATGAGATGCAACAAAATTTAACTAATTAAAGGCAGACTGTATTCTAATTACAGAAAGGCTTTATCAATTAAACAGTATTATAAATTTGTTTACAAAACAATGGGTTTCATTATTCAAACATCAGAGCAAATGACTAAAGCTTCCATTTTCATACTTACTTATGAATAGTTACGCACAAAGAAGGTGATTTAGCCTCTTAATCTACCTAGCTTCTCACATTTTAATTGCTTTTTAATGATAAAAATCATTACTGTCCCAAGTGTCCTTAATTGGATTTCCACAAACTTTAATAACAAAAACTTTTCCTTACCTTATCAAGTTCTGGATCTTGAAAAGGAAATTTGCTTATAACTATTCTGTATTCCTCTTCATTTGCTACAGGGATGGGGCTGTAGTTGTCTGCTTCAAAAATATCCCTGGTGAATTAGTAAAGTGAAAAAAAAATTTGGACATGTAATTTAGAGTATTTTCCTGTGTTAAAACATGTGAATTAATATATATCTTACTATCACACTTAGGTGTGCATCTTCAGAAAGTTCTAAGCTGCAATCATCATAATTTCACATATCCCAAATATTTTTAGATTAATTTGAAAGTACCTCATATATGCTAACTCTATACTGTGTCTACTCACAGGCAAAAAATAGCTGAAAGTGTTTTAACATGTGCAAAACATTAGCATAATGCAGCAAAGGAACCTTCCATCAACCAGTCCACTCCAGAGTAAATCATAATATACTTATCACTGATGGTAACCTATACTTTTCCTACACTAAAGCTGATACTCAGAGTACACCAGAGCTACATATAGTCAATGGAGATGATTCAGAGAACTTCAGCTGGGCCACAGCACTGTTTGAGTACCCTCTGGACTTTTCCACTAGTCAAATGATCATAGTAGGTGCACAGGGAGCTGAGGAATCTTCAGTGGTCAATTTAATGTTAAGGTTTTGCCATAATACAATGTAACATATTTTATTATGAGAAACAATTTCTGCATTTTCTTCTGTATTATGATATACAATTTCTGCACATTTAGACATGACACCCTATCTGCAAACAGGCTTTGGAGTACAGTCCCAGGCTGACTTATCCCTGGGTTTAAAATGCATTCAATCAAATGATTCCAAGAAATAGGTGGAAACCAATCTGCATTAAAAAGCCCTGACTGGCAATGTCAGTAGTCTGTCAGGGAGATATGCATATCAGCTAACTGTAATCATTAAGACAATCTAAATTAGGCAACTAAAGCCTAGAATTTATTAGGTTCCTAATGCAGAGAAACAGATGACCCTCTCCTGCATGTTTCCCCAGTAATGTCCCTTTGGAGACTTTCTTTCTCTCCATTAACTACAGAAGCATGACTTGATGTCTCTTCTCCTAAGTATTAGTTACAAGTGATGAATATCTTAGTCCTATCCGACTTGAAATTCATACACAACACTTGAGTTAATCAATTCTTTCAGATTACAACTGTATCACAAAAACTTGCAGTTAGAAAAAAACCAAGAGATGCAATGCAAAAGGAGCAATTATTATGATATACTAACCTGAACAATCCAGACCACTTTTTAAGAAGTGTCTCATTGTATTGGTCTCTTATCTCAAATAAAAGATCAAATAGTCTGTTCACAGGAAAACCATAGCCCTGAGGTATAAAAATGGAGAGTGGATAGTTCAAGAACTAATAAACTCAATTCCTATCACAACACTTCAGAACTCTAAGATCAGACTTATTATTCAATCTTGCTAGTTTTATAAAACAAGTTATAGTACTTTAAGCACACCACTACTTACTTATATAGTAATTTTTTACCAAATAATTTATCCTGTGCATTCAGAAATTTGCCCCATTTTAATTGCTAATGATGTTCATTTGGTCTTTCAGCTAAAGAGTTCAGGATAATTGGAATGCTGTTCTTGCATAAGACGAGAAGCAAAGCATTTGTAAAAGACAAAAACATACACAAGTTACAAAACTAACACTAATTTTGCACAGATATGAATAATTGATGCTAATTGGATACCCCAGAACATTGCTGGTAATACTGAAAAGAGGAACTAAGGCAAGAAATACATCTTTTTTTTAATATTCCTGTGTCATTTTGGGTTTGAGTTTTATATATGGCACAGGAAAATCCAAAGCACTGCACTTACTCACCTAAAGTTAAAGTTTTACTACAGGAATTTCAGTAAAGTTACTAATACAGTATGTACCTGCAAAGTATCAGCAAATATTACAATGAGATTCTTCAGTTCCAGAACAAGGTCAGGATCACTGCAATAGGACTGAAAGTGAGAAATTCTCGTTTTGTTAAAAGGATTTAAAATATGGGACATATGTTTTCAAAAAACAGTAGCACAGAAGGTTAAACACTCCAGCCTTAGTAAAAAACAACTTAGACTCACTTGTCTTTACTTAGTCCAGCGACATAAAAGTATTTGCTACATTTCTTTATGAACTATCAGTAGTATAAAAGTCAGAAAAATTTTTGCTCTTAGCATATTTTATTGAAGTGTTTGGTTTATTTATCTAAACCTTAGTCTATAGTAGGATGACAATAGAGAGATTTTGATAGAATTGGTTTTGATGGGAGTTATGCATTTTGAGAAGCAAAAGTGATCAGTACATGACAAGACTTTGAAGAGTTCTTTAGAGACTGCATTACTTTTAACCCTTAAATTATCATATTCTTACAAAGTACTTAGCTTTAAAAAATGCTGAATGAAAGTATCTCAGTTTAGCCCAATCCTCTCCAAACAATTAAATATCTTAGTAAAGGTCCTATGACAACTATATTTGCAATCTGAACTTTTTCCCCATTTTTCCTCAGTATATATGAAATATAAAAGATTCCTTGAATTAAGATCAATTGTAATAAAAATATCATTGCATAAAGGAACTCCTTATAGCAAACATTAAAACGGGAAAAATTAACTTCCTTTTTTTTCTCATAGAAAAAGTTATACCAATAGTAAACTCTGAATCAATTTTCTAGGTGAACAATGTGTATTCCACTGTTTTTTCAAAGAGGAATAAGAAATAGCATGTGGCATCACTGTGGCTGAGGTCGAAATGTGACTTCAGGAGACACACTTAAAATGTACTGAAATACTCAGCTGATACACAATTTTTCTAATACCTCTACTTCAACATAAACATAGCGCTACTATAGCATTGAAGAGATAGCTCCAAGGGTTTTGCTGGTAGAGTTTATTTTGGAAACACTGCATTTGGAATGATAATTAGGAACTATTTCCTGGTGGTGCTTTCAGTGCTGAACTATTCAATCTGATCTAATGAAGAGGTCAGTTGAGACTAATGAGGAAGGATTGCAATAATAACAGCAGATTAACTCTGCATATTCTAAACTGCTGGACTAAGAGAAGGTTTGGAAGACCCAGTGAGTTGTAAATCAGTGGAGGATTATGCAAATAGCCCATGGCTGCGGATCACAGCCTGATACTGTTGGGAAAAACAAAAGCTTGGCAGGCCCTCTCCCAAATCTGAGCAATTTTTAATCACAAGGAAAAGAAAACATGAGAGGTGTAATTTTTCACTTTGTTGCTATCCCAGCTTTAAATACCCAGAGCTCTGAAGTAAGCGGATTTAAACTGCAATACTGATAAGACTTCTCACTTACTGAATGTGTTCTAAGAACAGCAATGATCTTGGAAAGGGCCATGTTCCAGAGTTCATCAGTGTATGTTCGAGTTACCAATCCTTGGGTTACATGTAAAATGTGGTCTTCTACTACAAAGAAACTAAAACAAAACAATGCTTAAATTATTAAGTTGTTTTCTAATGTTAGAGCAAATTCCATCCTTTCACGAACAAGTACAGACAAATCCTTCCCCACTGGTGCAGCAAGACTTTGGTAGCTTTGGTATTCTGCTCTGCCCAGAATAAGTCAACATGTGCAAAGTTTGTTTCACACCATCTGGAGCTCAGGCTGCTGGAGGGTCCTCGAAGGGCACTGTTCTGGTAGGATCTGGATGTTCTTCCCTGTTCAGATCCAGCAACAACCGCCCACATGATTTGTGTAGAAACTGAGTCTTGCAGAAGACATTTTTGGGACAATGGGAGAACATAGGGTGAATCAACACAGTAGAACTCATTTAGAAAACTTACCCTACAATTTGACTGAAGTATCTTCTATAGCCTTCTACTGTTTCATGCTTTCAATGAAAAAGAAAACAAGATTAGGAACAAAAATACCACTAAGCATTAGATACAACCCAAGTCAATGAAAATCCAAAAGTATGGATTACCATGCTTGACTGTGGCTGCAGAACTAATCTTGCTTGTTTCCTTCTTTGTTTTCTGTAGTAATTTTCAAATATTTCTCCATCACCCTAAAAAAAGGCAGAAGTTATTAAAACAAGGACATTGTCTCAGTATGAAAAAGACACTTCCTAATTCAAGGGTATCATTCTCTTAAATTAAGTATACGTTTTGCCTTTATTCCAGACGCCAATCTCCATCTGACACCGGCAAAGTTTTGCATGCATGAGATACGCAGAAATTATCTTTTTCTCTGAAGTAACCTACAGCCTGTAGTGTAAACAGGAGTTTTGCTCACGTGCCTACATTTTGTCAAGCAATATTATGCATTTTAAACAGCATGTCCATTTAGCTCTTAGAGGATATTAGGATTTACAGACAAGGCACACTACCTGTGACTCTATAACTGAAACTCATTATCTCCAAAAGCATTTCCCTAGGTTATTCAAGAACGTAATGGCGTTGTGAAGTTGTTATGAAAATGTTTCTGTGAATATACAAGACATCTGACACTGCCTGCATTAGCCTTGCCTGAGATTTATTGAATATTTGCTTATTCTCTTTGGAATTATAATGAGTGTGGATTTGGACTTTTCTCCTATCATGATCCTCAAAAATACAATACCCTTTGTGCCTAATGATTTATATTGTGAGGAATTCAAGTGACATCCTACGCATCTCATTAAGATGACCATTCAGTAGAAACCATCTGTCCATCTGAAATCAGTGCTACATTGACTTATCTACCTACTGAACGCAATGTCATTTGTATGCAAGCAGAATAAAGCAGCTTAGCATTTTTAAGGCTTGTTTTTACTTTATGAGCCTATCACCAGGCCAGTGCTATTTAGAATTCCATTACTTGGTCTTCCAAAAAAATCTTCAAATTATTGTGGACATTGTATATTACTGTGCCAGCACTACTCACCTACCTACTTTTTAAGACATAACAAAGAAAGTTTAAACTTAGTTCATAATGAATATTTAATCATATTCAGAAATACTGCCAACCTAACAAAATCTAAAAGCAAAAGAGACCTGGCTTAAAACAAAAATAAAAATCTTCTTGAAAGTGAGATTCAGATTTACGAGACCACTGTTTGCATGAGCAAACTTTACAGTGTGCTCTACTTCACACAAACACATTCTGATCAGACACACTAGCCAATTATCTCCAGCCCAAATACTCAATGCAGTTTTGAGATGCTATTGTTGACTTTGCTTCCAATGACAAATCTCTACCCAGCCCTGACACAAGCTTCTTAAGTGAAAAAGACTAGCTGCTCATCTTAAATCCACACCACAAGTGGACACACGAAGTGTCTTAGGATTATTTATAGACCGTACTATACTATGTAGTTAAGATCAACAATTCAGGCATAACAACTGTTTAAAACAGATGTGCTCAAGCAATCAGCAGAATATAGCAACAACCTTGATAGTTCACTCACCAAATAAGCAAAGCCTAGACAAGAGAAAACATACCAAAGCAATGCATTTGTTTTGTTCAGCTTCCAAAAATTAATGAATTTATATCAATAGGAACAATAAATCAGCTCTTGTTCAGTTATAAAATCTAGGCTTATATATCAAGTGCTTTTTCACACCATAGACGCATTTATTTTACACTGCTATTTGGTATTTTGTTAAAAGGCAACATCACACACCAAAGGAGCAAGGATATTTTCACCTGAATTTAAAAAGATCTTTATGCATACTGCTCAGAAGTTTCTAGACCAAAGAAAGGTTAGTTGTCAATAGACATAGTCTATGTTGGGATGTATCTATATTTGTATGCCCAGGGAAGTGGTGGCTGCCCCAGCCCTGGCAGTGTTCAAAGCCAGGTTGGATAAGGCCTTGAGCAACCTAATCTAGTGGGGAGGTGTCCCCGCCCAGGGCAGGGGGTTGGGACTAGATGACCTATAAGGTTCATTCCAACCTCTAAAATTCTATTATCTTGCCATCACCAGGTTGGAATTACAAGCTGTGCAGTATTCTGAGGTATATAAAAATTGTGCTTGATTCTTCCGTATGAAGAAGCAGAGTAGAAAACTTCTGTCCTGCATAAAAATAGACTATTTCCTACAATTTGTAGCAGAGACAGAATTCATTAAGAATGTAACATCTGCTGAGAGATAAGTCCTTGTTATAGAAACATAATGTACAGCCATCTGGTATCAACCTCTCTCCTCTGCTGCCATCATGAAGTTCCCTAAACTTCAGAAGAGATGGTTTGCAACAGGAGGTAAATGAGAAGGATTCCGAGAAGTGGTTAATGCACAACTCTCAATACTGATATCATGGCTTATTAATTAGATGATGTTGGCAGGAAATATGGAACTCCTATTCTGAAGGCATCAACAACCTTTTTGCTATCAGAGAGCACTCCAAGTTGTTTTCTGTCTCCAATAAATTTGGAACCTGGCAAACTTTCTGTGCAAACCCAAAGAGTACATCCCTGGATCAAGGATCCAACATCAGAACCCTTATCAAAGTGAAAAACATACATTACTTTCAAATGTCATCTATAAATTTTACTTCCTGTTCCTTTATTACACTACAGAAAGAAGCAGCAGATGTTGTCAACTGGTGTATTTAACTTTACACATTCTTTTTTATATGTGATTTCACACTTTGTGGTCTGTAAACAGAAACAGTCCACTCTTTGGATAGCTCTGGCAGCCTGTCTTTCTGTCCCTCCTCATCTTTCACAGAGATGAATAATTACTGATATTTTTGTTTGACTGATATTGTTGTTTTTAAAAAAAAAAGTAACAAACATTTTAAACAGTATTTCAATATATGTTTTCATGTAACACAGCTGCAAGGATTCCATGAAAAACAGATAACCCAGCCTGAATGCTTGAAGACGAGTCCAGCTGAGATTGTAGGTTAGCAACACTTAAAAGCACATCATCAATTGGCCATTGATACATTCTATAAGTAGTCTGATCACAAAAGTAATTCACAGAAAAGGTGAAAAAATAACAATTTGATACCAAGTTTCCCCAAAAAAAGCTTTCATCCTTGTTACCTTGTACACTGAACCTCTTTTACAGCAGCTAAAATAAGCTGCTGTGTCTCTGCCATTGAATCCAATCTAATCTGCCTGAGCATACCCTCTCACAATCTCCAATTTTTGCTTTCTATTCTTCTCTGCCATTCTGATTTTCACAAGATTCAGACTGAATATTCCTATGTTTTGTAATATTGACCCAAACATCTGGGTAACATGGAACACAGTATTGACGCAAACATGCATATTTTACATATATACTTGAGAACACCCATGCAATTAATGTCCTGCTGTGCATCCTTCATTATCCATATAAAAGAAAACATGGATTCATGCCCAGAGTCTCCATACCCTCCCCATCTCAGCTGGCTCAGCCAGAACTACCAATACTAGAAGCAATACGTTTGCCTGCTTGGGGACTGTTAAGAGTACAAAACATGAAAATTAATATTCAAGCTTCAAAAATTTAAGTATCTCTTTGAGGTCACCTTCATACATACCAAAACTGAGTAGATATGCAAACACCTATAGACTGGAGAAAAGTCTACAAGATCTTGGGCAGTTAAAACCTGAAGCAGGAAAGGAAAAAGAAGAATATATAAAATATAAAAAGCATATAATCTGCAAAGTGTGCTATAATACCAACAGTACTTGTCCACATAATAAGGACTCAAAAATGGATGGTTTCTATGACAAAACACTAAATCAGTTGCTTGAATCTCTCCTCCCTTTGTGCTATAGTACTATGTTTTATTTGTGTTATAACACCAGATTCCTTTCACTGTGTTTTCAGAGCATCAGATTTAAAGTCTAAACACTCACTGGTTTATTCAGTGTATGAATACTGAATATTTGATAGATGAAAGAGTTCTAACACAAGCTTAGGTCCTCAACAACAACACGCTGGCTTTAGCAATAGCAGAATATTCCAGTAGGCCACATCCCACTTACAGTGGGCAGGTAATGCATAACATAAATTACAACTGAATTCCAGAATAATTGCAAGTTCTGTCCAACTGAATGTCTTGAAACATGATGCTAAAGATAGCATTGATCCAACTAATATTTTGGCACTATTTTTTCACCCTAAAATGCTGATCTGGTGTCCCTTGAAAGTGTTCTCTGGTTCTTCCTAACTAATGTTGACTGTCTACAGTGTACTACAACCTTTGTTCAATAAACCTACAAAATTTACTTTCAATAAGATGTTCTGATCCATTCCAGAGTTACCTCTTCTTCATGTTCATCATCATCTTCAAATGTTCTCTTCAATGTAATTTCATTCTTGGATTCCAGAACTCTGCTTCGACCTAAATGCGTATTCCGACCATAGTTTACATTATTTTGCTTCTGCAGAGCAGTACTAAAGGTTTTCTGTTGCTGTGCCTGTTTTAAGAGTAGAATCAATAAAGAGGGATGTAATTCACATTTCATCACTGATGAGTATATGCTGTGAGGTGAACAGGTGGTGATATTGAAAACACATCAGTATAACTGCAAGTTGCACATCCTCAGCCTACACCAATGATTTTGCCTTTAAGCAATTCGGGATGATAAATGAGTTCACTGGTGAATTCTACATAATTTTTTCCTAATTCCCAGAATACAATTTTAAAGGCAGAAAAAAAATAGAAGAAAGCAATCTGTACTTCTCCTGATCATAAACTGCAAACAAGAATCAATATTTAAATGAAAGTCCAGTTATCACAGTTTCCAGCTATTTGTTTGTTGTCTTCAGTAAAGTCTAAGTGAGCAGACAGTCCACTTAGCAGCCAGCAGAAGCCAAAGGCACTATATTGTCCTTACTTCTGAAAGAAATGCAACAAGGTAGCATAGCACAATCTTGCTATCAGTTTAATTTATAGTAATCAACACCGCATTTTACATAAACTTGAGATGACAAAACAATCCAACCTGAATTCTGTCCAACAACAAGTAAAATGAAAACTTTGTTTTTCTGGGACAAAAACTACTTCTTGTCTAAGACACAGATAGAAACGACACAAGATGTTAGCAAGCATTTCACAGCTCTCCATCTTTACTCAGAGGTCTATGTGATGACTATAATCCTTTGACAAACCCTTTGGGCTAATTTGAGACTATTGACACAAGTATTTTCAGTAGACAACAGGACTGGAATCATCTGTCAGGTCATCATACCTGTTTCATGGCAGTTTCCCCAATTCTGTCAGAGTGCTTTCGAATACTCTCTAAGAAATCCTTCAGATCTGACATGGATATCTCTTTTATTTCTTCACGTAGTTTGGGAAGATTTTCCATCATTATCTGGCAAAATCGGTACTGGCTAACTCTAGGAAGATATAAATTCTCTAGCTGTTCCATTGTTTTTAAAGCAGAATAGTATCTACAAAGAGATTAAAAGAAAATTATGTAGCTTCTCATAAAAAAATTTACCAAAATAATTTGTTTATCAAATATCATGCATGAAATCAACAATGCCTCTAATGAAATTACTCTGTTTCTAGAAAAATTAATGATAAAAATGTCATCCATATAATGCTTTAGTTTGGAAAAAACCCAGTGAGCTGTCAGAGTGACTCAGTACAGTAAACATTTTAAGTAGGTTCCTATGGTATTAGGTGTTCTGAGCAACACACGTAGCATCCTGCAGAATGAAGACACTAGAGCCATAACCACTATCTCTCCTTCTAGACTGAATTGAGTAGGGTTTTTTCTGAGTTGTAGGGACATTTTTTTCTGAAACACAAATTACCAATCACTCAACACTGCAGTATGTGCACCTAACAATGAAAAAAGTCTTGGAAGAGTGTGTCTATGTATCTGTCTTCTATAGGTATATGTGAACATACACTTCTACATCCATTTTCTTTCCATCATCCTGAGTCAAAAAGGACATGTATACACTTACACTGCTGGAAGAAAGTATTGCTTGAGATAACTTATTTTTCTGCAAACCATGACCTATTCACTCTTCTGACAAAATACAGTTTATCCCACCTAGAAAACAGCTAATTTGAATAAGGATTGAGAGCAGAGGGTTTTAAAAAAAAGCCACAAAACTACAAAGACTTCATAATTTTCTCTTTTATTCCATGTCCTGTTAGCCTACAGACTATTTGCAGCAGAAATACGGAAGATATGGGCTGAGGGGGAGAAAAAACAAAACACCAAAAAGATACTTCCTCTCATGTCCATACACTATGCACACATTGTATAGTACACTTCAAACTATGCTGTGAAATTTTAAGTATGGGAAAATGAGTTTAATGAAATAGTCAAAATTAAGCATAAAAAGTGATTTAACTACAAAATAAATTTGAAAAAATTAAGGACGCGAACAATTTTGACAACAGAAAGCTACCAAATACTGACACATCAACTCTATTACGAGTTATTTACCTGTCTTCGCTCTCAGATCTCATAGATTACAGGGGTTGTGGAGCCAAGAATTACTTGCTAAAACCATTTATCAACTTCAGACCTGTAGCATATAAGTAAAATTTTGATGCTTTCAAGCCGATTTAGGGACGCACTTAAAGAAGGAAACTTTAATTGAGGGAAATTGGTTTTCCATGCTTCCTCTTATAATGAGCAGAAGGATGAACACCATGAGGAGGTGATTCAGAGCTGAATCAGGCTCCTAGAAGTTAATACTCTTCTATTTCACTTTCACATGTCACACAGGCTCCTAAGGCTTGTGGAAATGTCTACTTAATTGAAGAGCAAAACAGAAGTCAGCCAATTCTGAGACAGACAACTAAACTAAGTGGTATATAATCAGAAATACTGTGATCAACAAACCTGTGATGTCAACATCATTTCAGAGAGGTGCAGGTTAAACAGGAGTAGGACACCAATCAACTGCAGATGTGACAGTAACTTCCCCTTACACAGTGTTGTTACCAGCCACTCAGCTCAGGAGGCTTTTGGAAAAATGCATTCAGTTTGTCCTGTTGGAACAGAGTCAGGCAAACCAATGCCTTCTAGCCTGGTCTTAAAGTAGAAGAACTAAGACCAGACTGAGTTAACTTGCTGTTAGTTCCAGCCCTTCCTCTCCACAAATATGGAGTAATATCCTTAGCCCATTTTTAGCTTTTCTGATTATAACATTAATTCCTTTCTCTTTCTGAAAGCCTCACGCAATCTGACTGGAAAATTACCAAATTATTTTGAAAGAGAAAAGCTGAATATGAGGAAAATCCCTTCAAATGTTCAAGAAAACCTAGAAAAGTGTTCTTTCCAGTCCTTTAGCTTCTGGACATTGCTTTGCAGATACAGTGAGTAAACACTTGCAAACTAAAATACAATTGAAGCTGCTGACTTCCCTTCTGTAGGCAAGGAATGACAAATTATTAGTACTAGAATCATAAATTCTTGTTCAATTCTGGAATAAACACAATGTTTTGAATTTTCTCAATCAAGGCATTTCTAAGCTAACAACTCAGCATAGATGGAGGATGGGAAAAAACTCTTTTATTCCAGACAAAACTGCTTTCAGACGACTGCAAATAAGAGATTTCAAGTGTAAATTAGGAGCTTTTGTTTATTATATACTTGGTTTATATAAAATATACATAAGGTGAGGGGAATGTTGCACATAAGAAAAGGTCTGGGGGGTTTATGTGTGTGGGTTTTGTTTTTTAAATAGCAAATGACCAAGAGTGCCACATGGTGAGACTTCTGGGGAATAAAACCATAATAGCATCAAAATCGTATGAAAGGTTTTTATTTAAATTATACAGATCAGCTTATCAGAACACTGTTAGTTCATCTGGAAGGTTTTTGACTGCTGTCTCTAAGATCTGAATTAACATAATCCATTTTAAATCCGTTCTAGAGTCCCGTACTAATTATACATATACAGAGCTCAGGACCTTGCCCTTTTAACATCTGTTCTGATAAAGCACTGAAGTCTTATTAATTTGAGGGTCATCTGCAGGTCAGGATTTCAACTAAAAAGTTTTGCATATCATTTCATAGAATGATGTATTTGCATATTTTGCTTTTTAAAACATTCCATGGATTTAATTCAATGCTGAAGATTTTGACAACAATATTATTAGTTCCCATCATATATTATCAATCACATAAGGTGAAGATTGACTTTTTGACTACAAATGAAGTATCTTCAAAGTTTTTTTATTCATATAAATATGCCGTTCTCATGTCTATTCTTCTGAGTTAATCTTGTAAGAATATGCTCCCCAATGCAAAATTTATAACATGAGCTTTGAAACTGAAGACACAAGTTTGAACACCAATAAAGGACATATGATAAGACTCTGCAGAACTGATCCATCTCATCATCAGAACCAGAAAACTCTAAGATGGATTTTACTAACATCGCCAAACTACAAAAATGGAACCTTCTAAAACCAGCAAGAACCAGGACTGGAAAAAAACCCAAACTAACAAAAGATTAAACAAAATACTCCCACAAAACCCACAACAAACAACCCCCAACACTACCCAAAGATTAGTACTAGTGTTTTGAATCATGTCAGTCTTTACAAAATGTCCAAGTTCCAGGCACAGAGTAGTCAGGTCTCTATAGAATTGGAAACACCAACACCCAAAAAAACCCAAAGTAAAAGAAAGTGACCATTACTCTAGTTTTAAATGACAGAGAGAACTTTTACATTCTTATCAGCAGTGTACTTTGGAGGCAGTTAAGAGAAATAATGTAACATTAAAAAAGCCCCACTGAGTTAAACTAGAGCAGTCAAGTTACACAGAACAGGAGCAAGATGAACTCAAAGCCTGTGAATTTTACTGAGAATAATTTATTTGGACACAAGCCTATTAAGTAAACAAGTCTTATAGACCATTCATGCACTTCAATGAAAAAAATGAGAGACAAAATCCTTATTTTATTTTAATTAAGAAAACAAACTTAGTTTCCAAAGAAAAGACAGCAGTGTTCTCCAACTTTTGTGCTTCCTTCGGAGGCAAATACTGTATATTCCTCCTGCCTATAACATTTCCATTAAGTAAATACAAAAAACTTTTCACCAGGGAGTACCTTGCAAATTTTTGATAATAGTACAGAAAAGTCACAGAGATCCTGAAGATGATATATTGAAATTGCAATTGAAATCTTTTTCCATACTACTTATTTTGCTTTGAAATCTAGTTGCCTTAACAACTCTAAACCTGATTTTTAAACTTTCCAATTTTATCAGCTGCCTCAAAGGACCCTGAACTGAAACTGAGGCACTACTAACTCTGAAGCTTCTGCCAAGTGAATCAAAAGCTCAGTATTTCTGAAAATGTTACAGCTGCTGTGTGGAAAGAAAACAACAAAAAAACCCCAACAAGATCTGTGGAATACCATTTTTGTCAATAACAATGGGTAGGAAATATTTTTTAAAACAGAAATTATCAAGCAATTAAGGGTTATGAGGATGGTGACAAAGAAAGCAGCTGACAATTCGGTATCAAATATATATTACGATGGGGTTTTTTGCCACATCCATGGTACCTCTGGGAAGGATTGACTGCAGTTGGAAAAATCCAGTGCTTTGTTTTGACACAGTTCCAAAACAATGCTGAAAACCAAAAGCAAATCACCATGGTTTTATCTGTTCTGGTATCCTTCCATACAGACATGGGTAGAACCAAATTACATAAGTTATGAACTTTTCATATCTGCATTCTCAGTGTCTCAAGGTTTATTTGAATGCTTGGAAGGTTTATGCAGAGCAAGGCTGCAGGACTGTCTCAGAGAGGCTTAGTAACCTAAATAACTAATCAACTCTGTCTTTCCCACAGTTTGGAAGAAAGTTTACAGTAAGGTCAAAAGTTATCCAAGTCTTTCAGGGCAAAAAGCTCACTCTGAAAGACTATACTCGTCCTTTAGTCCATCTCACAGTAGAGTGAAGAAGATTCAGCAACAACCTTAACAGATTGACTTATTCAATTATGTGGCAGGTTTGGGGGTTTTGCAGTACTTCCTATGGAAAAAGGCTTGTAAAAACACAATCACTTGAAGCAGCTGGAAACTTTCTCCCAAGGTACGTATCAAAATCCAAACGCTAAGGCCACAGTAACAGAGCTGTATGAAATGTGTGATAATCTTATCTTTGCCTTTAAATCAAAGATGGAAGTAGTTCAGTCTAAGTGCATAGCCCCCACTAGGTGGTTTGGAGAGCAGTACAGAACCCTCACCTCTCCTTTGTGCTTCCTCAGTTAAGACTTTAAACACTCCATAACTCTTTCTAGCCAACTGTGTCTGTTTTGGGCAGATTCTGCAGTTACTTCCTCTCACAACTACGGTTCTTGTCAACTTGTGTTATCCATGGCTCAGGAGACAGATAAATAGGATAGAGAGCCTTTCACCTCTAGGTCATCAGTTCAAACGTAACCCATGTTGGTAAGGACCAAAAGTTGCTATCAATAAATGGCTTTTTGGACTCCTCTGTAAATCTCCATTCCAGCTGCACAAACCAGTACATATTCCAGACCCAAAGTGCTGTATCTTAAAAAGGGTCTGCCATAGAGAAAAGGAAATGGAATTGCAATCTTTATCCTATAACAACTGTCTCCCAAGCATAAATAATTCACACCTTTGTCTTCCCTTCCTTTAAACATTAGAATTGGGAGTTTTATTCACAGTGCAAGACTGTAAGACAATGGAATAATGAAAATGTATTCTAAATGGCTGCAAAGTAGAGAAAGTCAAGACAACTTTCTTAGTAAAAAAGACCAATGAAAGCTTTGCTGCCTTAACAAACCTCAGAGAAGGTTTATGAGAAAAATTATCTTTGCTTAAAATAAACATGTTATGACAGGGATTGTGAATGCTCCTCTCTCTGACTCTTCCGGAAAAGCTTCACAGCAAAACTTAGGAAGATCAGTTTTGAAATCTCTTGTATGTGCACACATCAGCTATCAGGTCTTTGCACTGATACTATGGATGTCCTTGCTATTACTCAATCAAGTAGTGATAAAGGCCAGGATACACTCTCTCTTCAGCCTGTTAAGCCACAAGAAAATTACCATTTGAATTACCTGCAAGCTCCAAAGGATAGCCACCTGTTGGCTGTATTACAGGGAATTGTAAGCGACAAGCAAAGTAGCAACTGTAGCGTAGTTAATGAAAGAGAGATCTGAGCTGGAGCAGTAGCCTGCAGCAGAGTCTAAGCCTTCTGTACTCCATGTGATTTCAAGGTATGGTACATCAAAGCTATGGCATCTCTTGTCTCCCTTAGATCTTTTTATGGTATGACAATGACATGTCCAAACCCCTCAATTCAGGAGGCCTTTGACTTTTAAGACTTCCTGTCTGGCAACTTCCACAGGAAAATTATCAGATCTGAGTCTCTTAAGAAATAGATATTTAAAGAGTTCTGATGATTTCTCAGAGAGCACATCAACCATCAGTGGACTCTGCAAAACCATTTGTGGAGTCAAAATGCTAAAAGCTATCTGCAATTTTATCATACCTAAGTGATTTGTTCATGCTGACATTAGGAACTCTAACTTCCCTTACAATTCTAAAACCAGGACGCTGTTTGCCTTGCCTGACAAAGCAAGGGAAGGGCAGAATGCAGGCCTTGATCCCAGTGTCTCCAATACTTTCAGTGCACTAAGCATAGCATACTCTACAGAAGACCCTGCAGAAGGAAGCAGTGCAATCCAGACAGCATACTCTTCAGTCTGTTCTCTGACTGGAGCAGCAAGGGCACTGGACTGTTTACATTGTTGTGCTGAGCTGCTCCAAGAACACTGCAGCAATGTGCTGCCAGCTACTTTAAGCAGACACCAGTGTGTGGTTCAGAGGAAATAACATACAACAATCAAGCTGATGAGATCTAGCTCACTGGTTCATATATAGCAAGCTTTAATTGTAATGACAGATAGCATAGTGCCATAGCTATTGGGTCATTCATAAAGCTTTTATATGACTGCAGAAGACCTCCCAGACATCATTTATGCACAGTATCGTGTAGTACATGTATTACTGTCGAAGATGCATCACATTTGCTGCAATGTTGCTTGACCTGATGTGTACAATTGATCTGAAGCATTTTGGACACAGGCTTTAGAGCTGATTTGCTCATACACAGTGGGCACTGCTGAGGTGTTTTCAGATGTCCAGCACTATCGCAGGAGGTGTTGGCTACTCAGAAACCCAGACAAACAGCCCAAAAGTATATCTAGATTACATAGCAGTCCTTAGACAACTGACTACACATAGCTAGTTCCAAATGAAAACAGTCCAAACTGACTTGTTAGCAGGAGCTGACTGCAGTGATGCCAGGTGCACAATGAGGGAATGACAGTGATCATGAACCCAGAAAGGGAAGGCACAGAGCAATCAGTGTGACTCAGGTGATATGAAGAGTAGGCAGGGATGAAGGTGGCAATGGTGCTACAGGAATCACAAAGAATAGCAACAGTAGTAGTCCTGGTGTACATGTGCAAGGTGCAGGCAGCAGCAGCAGCAGCCCTGGTGGGACAGGATGACAGCTAAAGGGGGGCAGGGGCAGCCGAGCTGCCATGGAGAGAGAACTGGGGATACTGGGGCTGCAGCAGCAGTGAGTGGCTCTCTGAGAAGATGAAAAGTGAAGACACAATAGGAAGGAGCAGCTGGTCGTATACCCGTTATAAGCTGTTATTCTAGAAAATAATTTTTAATTATGGTTTTAATTTTTTTTAACAAGTCAGTTTGTCACAGAGGGAAAAGCCCAAAACCACAACATATTTTCTGCACTTCATTCTCATAGTCCCATTTGCACAAAAGATTAGCATAAAGACAGCAGACAGGTCTAAAGAAAGGTATACGGAGTGAAATGTCCTTTTTTTTCTTGGATTATGAGTTTGATATAAATATATCATGACAGACTAATCAGATATCAATGTACTCTGAAAGACCTTTAGTCCATAAGGATCTGACTTTTCTTCCTTCTTACACTGCTTTAAGTAATAAAAAATAGTAAACTTTACTTCATATTTTATAATCATAATTTCACTACATGGCATACCTATTCAAGTAAACATTATTTTTCATGGCAATCACTAAGCTCCTAGAAGTCTTTGTATATAATGCAACATTTGTTCACTCACAGTGACATCTTGAAACACAGACAAGATGTTTTAAAAAGCAGACTATACATGCCAAGCTACAGGACTTGGAACACTTACTTGCCTACATTACATTATCAGTTTACTTAAAAATGTTGTATTTTTTCCTCATAGAAATAAGTCCACTCACCTTTTTACATTCATCTGTTCTTTTAGCTTGCTGTACATTTCCAGTACTGCATAAAAACAAGCAGATTAACTCATGAATCTCATTATGGCTTTAGTTAATAAAAGAGGAATATATATACTGTAAAGGACAAAATAACTAGAAAAGGATATGCTAAATTTACCTTATTCAATTTCTAGTGCGGCATAAATGTGATAAAACTAGCAAAAAATATTCTAGAGGCAGCTGAGAAAGAAAAATACTGAACTCTTAACGGCTTTTAAATTGAAAATAACTAAGATTGAATAAAACTTGGCACTATATATATCAAGCACATTCACTCACTTACTGCATACCACAACCTTATTGCATTACCAGTGCATGACCTGTCTCCATTAAAAGGCAACAGTACCACCTACTGTACCCATAACACGTCAACAACAAGACTTCACAAAGAAAAATGCTCAGATCTCTTTTAGGCCAATATCACCAACAGGATAAAACCATTATAGACCTGTGTGCAATCCTACATTACCTTCCTGAAACAACAGTTAGAGCCCTTATGTTTTGTTCTTTAATAGCCTTTAGTGGCACAGAGCTGAAAGTACAATGTTGAAAGATCATCATTAGTATTCTCCCCAGAATTCCAACACTAAAAACCACTCTCTTAAGCAACAAACTTCATTGTTTATCGTATTAAACGTATTAGTTCATTTAAAGCTGTATGTGGCTACACTGTTTGCATCACTTAGATCTGTCTCACTGTCTTCTCACGAAGTGTTGTAATTGCTCTGTGTCAAGTATTGTAAAGGGCATGGAATCCACACGTTGACACCTTTGCAAAACCTATTAATTTTTTTGTTAAACTGGATGTTACCGGACCACAACTTTAAAATTCCTTTCCATTTGGCTATTGTGACTTAACTTCATTTAATTTGCATCAAATCTAGCCACAGGTCACTCACCTGGAAGACACAACTGTAGTTTTTCCACAACTGTTGTGATATTCCGTTGCTGAACTCTACATCGGATGATTTCCTCTGTTTGGGCTATCACCTTAAAGGATTTATTTTTTAAAAAGAAAGAAAATCACACTTAAATTATGCGATTCAATTTATTTTGCTACAAATATTCATAATGTCCATATAGGAAGCACCATTTTCTCACCTCTTTCCCAGCATCCTGAAGCCTTCGGTTGGTATCAGTAACTTGGACCTTAAAAATAATTTCACCTTTGTTAGACAAATATGCATATATTGCCCTGATGTGACTGCTCACCCTTGTAATCAGATCATGCTTCCTGAGAAACTTAGAACAAAGAAATGCAAATTCAAATTAACTCTACAGCTTGAACTTGAACTTTTGATCGCAAAGGGCTTTTGTTAACTTCAATTACTTATGACAGTTCTTTCTAACAGATTCTGTGGCAAACTTCTCAAATTTACTTGGGATTTTTGAACTTTCCTTGTTTCTGTAGGTCTGTCAAACAATTCAAATCATTGACCCAATTGACCACTGGTCCCTTTTTGATAACCTCAATGAGCTCTATGGGCCATTCATTGTCTGTAAGAAATGGTGATTGCATTTTATGGTAATTAAACATTCATACTTTGCTGAATGCAAACACTGGGTGGTTGATTAACATCAAACGTGGAAATCTCCAAACCACAGCAACATTTTAATGCTGCAGGTGCAGGCAAAGCTCAACCTCAGATTTTCCCACATAGTAAGTGACTCATTAGGTCATCATAATAAGGAAGCACATTCTAGTTTATTAAAAATCTCATTAATTTCTGAACAAAGATGCTCAATGACCTCATTGATGCTGTATTTGGTCTCTTGTTATCTGAATATCCTTTATATAATGCTCTTCTAATCATAACCTCTGATGAACTATGCTCATTCTGTCTGGTGTGCATATTTTGCTCTCAAAAGTGTAAAGAGAGCTAAAAGGGACGGATCTCATAATTCACCATTCTGCTTTCTGATCTGGGAGTAAATCTTGGGCCTCATTTCTAATGAAAACTACTAACTTCACCCACTCTCCTGCTCATTACAAAGTAAAGAACTTTTTTTCATGCATAATTGCATCATTTTAATTTTTCTAATAGAGATTTTAAATTTTTCTATGGCCTGACATATAAACACATGATTAGAAAAGGACCTATTTAAGAAACTCTGAGTTTGTCATTTGTTTTTCTTTACCTTCTGAGAAAGCCTTTAAAAAAAAGGCAAAATAATTTTGGTAACATTTTCTGAAAACATACATTAAAAAAAATCAGAATTAGATTTAATAAAACATTCAGGTTTGTAAATGTAAATTACTGTGAGGCAACACAGCTCTAATCACAAATCCTAAATAATCCACTTCTAGAAAATTGCTGCAAATGATAATCACTGTATTATTCTTCAGTAGAAGAGACCAGTTCCTTCTTTTAAATTCAGTGATATATGAAACTCTTAAAAATTAGTTCCTTACCTTTAATTTTTCTGCATCAGCCCTAACTTTAAGAAGCTCTGTAATAGCATCCACAAAGCCCTGATGATGAAAATTGCACATCTTTTCTATCTCCCTGTCATGGTTACGTATGCAGGCATCAAGTTTTTCCATAAATTTCTGATGTGCGTTTGGTTGGTCATCATATACAGACCTATAAAATACAAATAAGAAAAAATCAAAGTTTACTTTTCCCCCCTTTGAAAACAGCATGCAACAATCTTTATTGAAATATCTCTCTCTGTCTTAGAAAGTAAAAGCAAGCAAACTTGATGTTAGACTGGCATCACTTGGTGGATCCACTCCACCAACATCAGCATTAAAAGAAAGATGTGGCACAAAACTGAGAACTGAACTCAGCCCTTATGGCATTAATCCAGGTGTTTAACCAGTTACATCATGGTTGACCTGAGCCTCACTGGTCTGTTATTTATGCCCTAATGCTCAAATATGGGTACAAAAGAATCAGTTTCTCCAACCACCTCAAATAGCATGGATCGCTTTTCCATCAAATTCCACTCTTTGCTAAATATAAAGAAGTGCAAACATACAAATTTGCTTTTCTGGTATTCCTAACACCAGAGTTATCCAACTAAATCAGGGTTGGATGCTTCCAGCCAGGGTGACCGGAGCGTTGTGTGGCAGAGCAGGACCTCTGGCAGAGGGCAAATCCCAAGGCTCCCTGTCTCTGCCTGCCCATGCCCAACAGCTGCCAGAGCAAAACCTTAACCTGCACACACCTGAGGCTGCCACCTCAACGGGATCTAACTGTCAGGAATAGCTAGAATCAGGTCTTCTGACTTATTTTACTAACAGTACACTTTAAAACCTCAAGCAGAAAACATGACTCCTGGAGAAATTACAGGTGTAGCTCGTTGAGCAGTGTCAGAAATTGAGATCTGGGTGGAAAAATGCTCAAGCATTAGAGTAAGCAAAGGAGGCAGAGGACAATTTAAAGCTTTAGGCTTGGTAGAGGAAGCAAGAGCTATTATATAGAACTGTACTGGAAACCAAAGGTATGAAGTCTCCCAACAAAGGCAAGGCACAGTTCCAAAATTTGATTAGCAACTTGATATAGCAACGACAGTAAAAGCAGGCAATTTTTGAAGTAGGTTTTCAGACAGAATGAGAGCAGGAGTGTGAGGATGATATAGTCCTACATATGCAAACATGTTTGTACTGCAAACTACAAATTAAAGTGACAAAAAACCTCTTTAAATTCCTTTTTTAACCTCTAATTTCCTTTCGCAATTACAAAATTTTCTCCAGAAATTTATAATCAGAAGCTGCTTTAAAAATATTTTTCTACATTAAAAAAAATAAATCTTAAGATGAGGGAAAAGAAAAGGCTGAAGTTCCAACAGTCTCAGTGTTGCTTGTAGAAATAGTCTTAAGTTCAAGACCCAGGCAACAATGAGTCAAAGCCTCTAAAACTCCTCAGTAGCAAGAAAGTACTTCCCTTCCAGTCTTCTTGGAGAAGTATGATTTCTCCTACTCTTCAAGATCCTCTTTTCTAATCAGACATATTCACCATCAATGCATTCAACAAACCTACAGCTGAGTGTCTGACAACAACTTGACCTTTCAATGAAGAAAAGGGTGTAGAAGATATTGAAAAGACTCTTGTAACTAGATTCTTCATACTTTTTGAGTTCCTTTTGACCCTGTATGATACACACAGAGAAGCAACTGAACTTAGAGACATGAGAAAGACAGTATGCTGTCCTACACATCAAAGGAAGAAAGCAAATTCCTTACAGTCTGCTTTTTATAGATATTTTCTCAGGGAAAAATCTATTCAATAAAATATTCCTACAGTACTCCTTTTTGCTTGTGGTAGGAAAATAAGGCTACAGCACTGAAAGCAGGTTCTTTCCTCCAAATAGGATTACTGCCCCTTGCAGTGGTTCACCCCTGACCATTTCCACCACCACAGTTTGAAAGGACAGATGGAAGGTGCAAATGTGTGCCCATCAGTCTCTCCTCCTGAGGTTCCTGTCAGACTGCCTGAAAAGGACCCCTCAAGGCTGCACAGGATGACTGAGGTTTAAAGGTGGATGATCATGGGTGACCCACATCTGTCAGTGGGAAATACCTGCACCCAGCACCTGGTGCTGGCTGGTGGGAGAAGCAGCACCCTGGCCTGGGAAAGCAAGACACAGTCAGCACTGAGAGAGCTCTCATTAGGCAATCTAATGTCCTGCATCTGAAGGCATAGAGGGAATCGTGTAGACTGTATCACTGTTATCAGTAAAGCAATGGGAGAGGGATGACAAAAAGGTTCAAGGACTGAAGTTGTAGTGCTCCAAAACACAGTATGAGCTGGTTACACGAGTCCTGCTCTGTCTCCGTAAGCAAAGGGTCAGAGATGTTGGAACTTACAGGGTGGACACAGAGGGACATCCACCTGTCTCCAGAGTTCCCAGAGAAGAAAAGATTATAAGGACCAGACACATTGGATAGTGCCTTCACAGTTATCAGGCATGCATGAGCCTGCTCTGAGCGGGCTAGACTCACCATCTATACTGCACTGCATGCTAAATTAAAAAATAGTTCAATTTATTACTGCTTCCTTTAGCCTTTTTGTTTAGGGGCAGGAGGAGTCTCCAATGTTCTCAAAGGGAAGTGAGAAAGAAGCATCACTACCACGAAGATGGGAGACTTCCATCTATTGCCATGTGCTCAAACTGTAAATTGTGTAATGGAAGCATAAGGGAAAACAGCAGTAAAACACAGTAAAGCAAATACACCTAAAATGAGAATAACACTGCAAAAAAGATGGTGCAAGAGGAGCTCCATACTTGAGTTTGTACCACCAAACTTTCTTTGGTGGTAGAAATGCACTGTCTTTTTGGACTCAGTAATTGCCTGATGATTTGGGGGGATCCAGTAGCTTCCTTGATAACCTTTTATCAATTTCAGATCAGCCAACACTGTCAGACATGCTGTTAAAATACTGACAGAAGGAAACCATTTGAGATCAGAAGATTTCTTTTTTAAATGTTATCAAACAATTCCAGACAACATAGCCAGAAATTTGGGAAGCATATACAATGCAGCATAGGCAATACAGTATTCAGGGCTACAGAAATCAGTAATTATTATGTTTTCCTCCATATTAAAGTTACTTACACTCAATTTTAATGACAATAAAGTACTGATTTCTAATTCTCAGGGGTACTCTCACAGTATTTAATTAAAAAATCATACAGGGAATAAACATTCAAAATTAGGGGGGGCAGAAATCAATACTGTGTACATCCCAATGCCTTAACCACAAAGTTATCCTATCTGCTTAAAATAATAGTTACTATTTTATGTTCCACGTTGTACTCTTTTTTCAAGGACACTAATAAAATTGTGATCTGTGATCTAAAACAGTATTTCGATAGAGATCCCCAAGACTCCCTAGCAGCATAAATTCCATATTAATTACACATGTAGACAGCTCCATCTTGTGGGAACAACAACAAATCAACCCTGTTCAGCACACAAGGGAAAAAAACCTGCAGACAAAACTGCTTACCTTTACAAAAATAAAGGTGCTTTCACACTTTCAGAGTGCTGAAAAGAAATTCACACTTTGTATCACAACTTTCCGATCTTGGTGAGAAGTAAGAAGATGAATTGAGTGTACTAACTTGCTTAAGACGCTGTACTCTTAGGACACTACACAAGGTATTTCAGGGGTTTCAAAACAAAGTCTGGTCTAAAGCACTGGTCTTTGTGAAAATGTAAGTGTACACTAGAGAGGCATCTCTGGCCATGGCCAGAAATTAGACTTTTTCTCAAATCTGAGAACACAACTGTGACGATACACACTGGATTTACCCGTCACGGAACATCACATATCATGCACGACAGTTCATTTCTGATACTGAAGCTTATTTTCCATACATTCATCTCAAAGACTACCTACACTTATCTAAATAAAGTAATTGCTACCTCTGAATGATTATCTGAAAGTGTGTATTTCAACAGATAATGGCACTGCAAGCAATCCTGATAGCAACTCTGCACTTCTCAGGGTGAAACTATCAGGCAGACACATCACCATACTGCAGCATCTTGGAGAGAGACATGGTGTCCTGAGAGCATCCTAGGGATAATTCTTTCAAATTACAAGTCAAAATTAACAGAATTTATAATACACACACACACAGAGTTCTGTTGGGAAGAGAGTGAGGAAGTAGGAACTCTTCCAGCTCTGTTTCTTTAGATGTTTATTACATGCAGTTATGTCTGCCCTAAAAATCTATCATGCCCTAAAAATTGCTTCATACACAGCAGGGAGAGGTGACATGAAAAGAGGCAAACATGCCTAGGATACCATAAGAAATTTTACATGTGTAATATGTATAATTCATTCGAATGATGTTTACATTAATACATCTCTGAACGAAGAGCCCCAAGGACCCTCCTGAGCTTTGTGGGCCCCTGAAGAGGATGCTGATGGTCTGAAACATAGCACAAATCTGAACTGTGCCAAACTGAAAGGCATGATCAGTTTGTATTACAACTGCTTTCACACTCTGATCCACACAGCTGTAGGAACCTACAGACTACAAGTGGTTGATTCATACCATGAAACTCTTGAGAAGCAAATTTTTTTCTCCGTATGAATCTTCAAAATGGAAAGAAAAAAAAAAGGATAAAATCACTGACATTGGAGACAGAAGTCTGCATTTGATTTTGACACCAAAAAAACCCAAAACAACACATCACCTTAATTTTCAATCTGGAATGACAGAACATTAACTTGAGCGACTACTTAGACATCAGTGCTGCGAATCAGTGACAGGACAGGTACTGATTTCTTTCCTAATCAGCAAGACAAGCAGGGAACCCATGAAGAGCATAAGCAGAGCTGAAGAATTGTTCTGGTAATGTGTATGTAGCAGGTTATTTGTCTGGATTTCCCAGAACTCTATACAGAGAGACGATTTTTTCTGACTCATCCCAACAACTGGACAATATGAGTCATTAATGCCAGTCTAGGCAAATAGAAGATAGTGAAGAAAGTACTCAAAAGAGGAAAAGAAATTAATCAGGAATAGTCAGAGAATAACCTAAAGGAGAAATATGTCTCAGTCACTGGATCAGTTTTACTGCAATAGGGATATTTTTACCTTCATCTTTTTTCACCAAGT